GCATGTAGTTCATTGAACCTGACTACACAACCTTGTGGCCTTATGTGACATGACAATGAACAGTTTTCAATGCCTTTGTACTACGACAACATGTGACTATCGTGCTTCAAAATTTCATATTTGTATATATGATATTAAATGAAATATATCGACTTTATTAGGTACAATAAATTTACTAAAAATCTACCTGTGCGTTTCTTTTTTTGACGTTTTTATATGCGGCTGTCCGGAACACAGAAGAGGGCTCCTTGTGAAACTGTCATGGACGGGTGCTGTGTGATCGGCGTCATACGTTAAGGTTTTGTTTGGGGAGATATTAAGCTAATCACGGACAGATTAAGTGTATGGTCTGCGATATGCCTACTTGTACCAATCGTAATGACGCCTATATCCTAGTACTCAGATACCCAGCGAGTGAGTGAGTGAGTGAGTTGGGTTTAACGCCGCTTTTAACAGTATTCCAGTTATATCACGGCGTGTCAGCTTGATGTGGGAGGAAAGCCCGAAGTGATGCAGGTCTCAGACGTTTAACACTTCGGTGAAACCCACGAGCACGGGTATGGTGCTGACAGATACCAAGCGATGACCAGTTTGTAATTTAAAAACTTGTGCGAGACAATGTAAGATACACGCTCAAAGATCATCACCTAGTGTTCGTGTAGTGGAGAGGGTGTATTTATCACCAAGTGACCATTGGTAGGTTTTCTAGATCGCAATATCTGTTGTTTCTGAAGAAGATTGTAGGAATTTATGTCCTCTACCCCTTTAAATGGTATAAAAAAAATATGGCATGAACTTTGGAAAAAGATCTTCCTCGATCTTGCTTGAAAGCAAACCTATTCTTGAAGAAGTATAGAGTGTAAGTTGGAATATGGTATCTTAAAATTCCTACAACCATTATTAGTTCTCAAACTTAAAAATCAATATAGCTGGCATGTCTAAATATGTATGTAAATGGTACAAATTATGCATATAAACTTTGTACGCTTACTTACATCTAAAGCAGAGTGTTTGTACGACTTAAGTGGTACGAACATTTCCTCAGTTCCTTTGACCAAAGTGTGAAAAATGTGTTTGACAGTTTCAGCAGCATACTGGAACGATGTACGCTGTACTGCCGACTGCGTCACGTTTTACGAAGTTAGGAAGCTACAAAACGGTGTCGTACATGCCTTAAGTGTCAATTATAAAAGCCATTATCTCAATTTAGTCTCAACGATATTATCTATGCATAAAACGCTAATACGCGCACTGAAATCGTGAGTAAATGCAAAGCAAATAATGTCACCAGCCTCCAGAAAAGAACTTCCTTCTGGATGTTTGTTATTTAAGACTGAATCTATTAAACAAGCTGGTAACCAACCGAGCTGTGTTTACAGTGGACTTATCTGCCGATAGCAACATTTACCAACGTTAAAGCTAAAATGCCGTGTCAGTTACAGTTGTATTATCTTGATATTGTGACCGACAGTCGGCTTTCTACCTACTATAGCAACGAAACATAGAATGTAGAGTGAGAGAGGAAATCGAATTTTTTGTAAGGCATCTGCCTCAATACAGTAGGGACTTCGTAAGGACGTATTTCAGCACCGAGAGCACGTAGGCGAATAGTGTATGAGACATATAACTTGAGCATAAAACATCCGTGTAAGAGTGGGCGAGTATTAAGAAATATACTGGCTGTGGAAAACGCATCTTTGTTTGGAACACTGTCCACCCGTGAAGATCAGGGGTAGAACAGGTCTTCAGCAACGATGTTTGCCGTAAATGGCGATTATGCTTGTCGTTAGAGGCGACTAGCTGGATCGGGTGGTCAGAGTTTGCAGTAATAACTTAAATCCGGGTTGAACTTACTTCAGGGCCTTCTGCCACATCAAGCTCACACACCGTGATATTACAAAGATACTGTTAATATTTGGTGGTGGTGTACCAAAATCACTCAGCAATCTTACAGCGATATGATGGTGGTCTGTATATAATCGAGTCTGGACCAGAGAATCCAGCGATTGACATCATGAACATCTATCCATGCATTTGGGAAACGATGACATGCATCAACCAAGTCAGCGAGCCTGACCACACACATTTTCAGTAATGAACGGTTAGATGTCACTAAATAATTGTTCGTGGCACCGGGTATTACTTTGTCCCTCCAAGGGTTCTGTTGCATTGACTTGAACTAATGCAAATAATTATTGTCATTCTAGTCGGATCGATAACGAAGCGCGTAAACTTTGCTTTGCAATTAAAGGATTTTTGGAATCATATGCATTGCTTTCCAGAAGACCAGCATATGCAATTTACAGCTCCTTGACTATCGTTAGGATATTTGCTTTATTGATTAGTTGACGCCAAACGCATAACGACGCCGCGGCAATAAACTATTTCTAAGAAACGTGGCACAGTCGACAATACTGGGTACATCCGCCCGGCATTCCACTGAAGCTGTGACACAAAAGTTTAACACTGATGAAAGGACCAAATTCATCGGTAATCTGCTGAAACTGATCCCATTGAAACTACAAAGAGTTAACGCAATGTTCATACTGCTCACCATCGTACAGACAATCTACTTCGCAGGTAAGTTTAAAAGGTAGATGGTCATTTGAGAATTGACTCTCACTTCTACCCTCATTCTATGAAGGTTCAAACTCCAAGGAACTCACACAAAGTGAAAGTTAGTTCTTATAATATTTTATATTATTATTTTTACCTCCAAGGATGTAGATTTATACACGATTATATTTAGAACGTGTGACTTCTTGTCTACACTGAAAACCATTTAACAACCAGCTGTATCGCGGAATTAAGTAGTTCCTCAATAGGACAGGTCACGTGAGCGTATGTATGATCTCAGTGAGAGTCCGTTTGAAACAAATATATTCAAATAACATAATCATCAGATGAGAAAGGTGTGTTAAGAACTACCTCAGTAAGTCAGTCACAATGACAGCACGTCTTAATACACTTACATCAAGTACAAGATGTCAAAATGGCCGACACGATAAACGTGACAGGAGAGATTTTCGAAGTTGTTAGTTACCAAGTGGCTTAAGAAACTCGGTTGATTTTATCACATGTTTGATTTTCCGTTGAAATACACAAATGAACATATTTCAAACATTGTAGGGGTCATGAGGTTTTAAATTCATTGCTTACCCAAGTCTTTATTGAACCAATTTATTATTACACAAAATTACCCAGCTTCAGATTACTTTTTACAAACTGTTACAGGAATGAGTGATGGTCAAATAGACATAATCACATTTAACAACAGTTCTTTAAATCTTCAATTACCAAAAAACTTGGAATACATTCTTATGCCTCTCAGTTCTAGTTGTTGGCAATACTGGGTGCTTAAAATAAGTCTTTTGATTTGAACCGAAATGCTGATATTTATAAAGAACATATAGCTAGTAAAAGTCATAATATCTTTGATATATTTTGAAATTGTCGTGTTTCAAAATGGAGTTAAGGTAAAACAGGAGGTAACAGAATTGTCCCAGACAACTGTCATCCAATGTCTGCCCTACGTGAAAGGTTTGTAGTTGTTTCAACTGACAAGGCCTCAAATAACATAACCATCATATGCAAGCATCACTACATTAATTTTTTGGATCTAATAACTTGGTATAAATGTTAACCGAGGATGAAATCTGCCAAAACCATGCATCAGTACTATCAACTTTTGGGTTAACCTGAAGCCATGTCCATTCCTATTTTGTACTGGATTCCAAAGCTCCATACAGAGAGAGATCTATTGCTGGGCCAAGCAAATGTACCACTTAATCCCTGTCTCAAAGATAAACCATAATCCTTAATAGAATCAAGGAATGACATTATCTTTATTGAAAATTATGGTATTTGAGACAGGTGGAATTAACATCATATGTCTGATCCTTCTCGCGTACAGTACGTAGGACATAGTAGGAGATACTTAGACAAAATAAGATTTCCCCGTGGCCCTACTACGCTTCCGTACGGGTACTACCGCTAGGACAGTACATGCTTACTCTTTTCGCGAACCCTTGGTGTAATCACTTTTTTTTCTGTGATCCATTAATATAATTTTCCCCGCTACTTTGCACTAATGGAGTCTATTTCGGCGGACAATCCAGACTGGATATTCTCTGGGGCTGACGTTTTATATAGATCTATTATTATGGAAAGGGTTTTGTCTTTTTATTTCAGTTTTTCGATAATTAACAATTATCATTTACATCTTTGAAAACACAATGTAAATCTTTGATACGAATTAAACTATTTATACATTTTGGAAAATGAGTATCGGTTTCCTTCTGGCGAGAGTATTTTTTATGTTTCTTGAGCCTTATCAAGAGAAATACGGAAATAGGGGATGATAACATACGAATGTTTAAATCTCTTAATTTTACACACTTTATGGTGAGCTTTGTTTTGTTTGTTTGTTTGTTTAACGCCGCACTCAGCAATATTCCAGCTACATGACGGCGGTCTGTAAATAATCGAGTCTGGACCAGACAATCCAGTCATTGACACCATGAGCATCGATCCACGCAATTGGGATCGATGACATGTATCAACCAAGTCAGCGAGCCTGACCACCCGATCCCGTTAGTCGCCTTTTACGACAAGCATAGTCGCCTTTTACGGCAAGCATGGGTTGCTGAAGACCTATTGTAACCTGGAATCTTCACGGGTCTTTTGATAAGCGAAAGTGAAGACGTCAAGTATTATATTTTTCTTACGTTTAGTGTTACAGACTGTATGACAATTGTATTACTCATTCGGGAAAGGGGTGGGGTGAGGTATGTGTTGTGGGGGCGCATTCTTAAGCATATTAATTTCTGCAGGTAAGTCGGTATCATGTATGCATAAATCAACTTGTTGGAACAACAGTGGTTATATTGAAATCAATGTGTAGTTAAAATATAATTAGTCACTTAGTCCGCTCACGATAAATATTAGCTTAGAGAACTTCTGATGATATGCTTTTTGTTTACTTAGAAGGACGACTCCTTAATGCGAATGCAATAGCCAAAGAACTTTCACCGGCACAATCAGAACCTTCCACGTTCATCGCCGATGTCATTAGATCCTTCAACTGGACATCACTCTGCATCCTGTATGACTCTTCGTCAGGTAACATTGTTTTTGATTCATCCCCTGGCGATAAGCTTTGTTTGTTGTTTAACGCCACACTCAGCAATATTCCAGCTATATGACGGCGGTCTGTAAATAATCGAGTCTGGACCAGACAATCCAGTGATTGACATCATGAGCATCGATCCACGCAATTGGGAACGATGAAATGCGTCAACCAAGTCAGCGAGCCTGACCACCTGATCCCGTTAGTCGCCTTTTACGACAAGCATGGTCGCCTTTTACGGCATGCATGGGTTGCTGAAGACCTATTCTACCCCGGAATCTTCACGGGTACTGTGATAATGTTTATTATATGTTTTTCGGGTGTCTCAATATTCTGAAGATCATGTGTAATGGGGCTTCCACGATGTTCTGTGGATGCTCATGTATCACCCGGAATGTCCCGTTGTTCCTTAAAGGTTCTGCAGAGGTTGTTGGTCAGGATCTGTTTTACTAGTACGTGTTCTAGATACTGACGTATGATTTATTTATATTTCATATTTATCTAACTTAAAATCAACAGTTTGTAATATACAGATATGTAAGTGAAGATTATGGAACATATAAGCCCAATCTACTTGTAGGATATACAGCTTCATCGCTGCACTCTGTAATGGCGTCAAAGACACCTTCCTGTACAATCATGGACTTCAACATTGACAAAACAGATGTGAATGACGTCCTGAAGACTGTGAACTTCATCATGTCTCCAAACATCAACATAGTACTGCTCTGCAATACCATTGGTGCTATACATACTCTCAAAACGGTACGTAAAAAGCACGACATTATCTGGTGCTTCGAATCAGACGGTCAACCTTACGATTGCTTTTTTGAGAGCACCATCCCATGCACGTGGGCTTCCCCAAATGGGTAGACGTTATTTTGGGCTTCCCGCCCACGTTTACCTAGTATGCTGTGATATAACACAATACGGTCAAATACAACTTACCCACTGACGTTTTTCTCTGTAGATGGTATTTGAGAAAACATAAAGGCCAAAGTAAAATTACAATCTGTTCCAACACTCTACATTTGTCTGTTACTAACAAAATATAAAATTCTTCTCGTCAGGCCAATAGTTATGACTGCACATCCAACAGAACAAGTGACTACAGACACCTCTCCAAGTGGGTAGTCCTTGCCGATAGACGTACATTGCATGATATCCGTCAATTGGCTCTGGGTTTGGAAAATGTCCTTTTTGTATCACCACTTCAACAGGTGAGAAGGGCAAGTACATAACAATAGATAAGAATGTATTTATGCATTTTCATTTTGTTCTGGATTTCCTCCATCATTTATGGCCAGGGGCATTTTGGTAAAGATTTTATGACAAATATCAAGTGTAACTGTGTCTCTAGTAACACACAATACCTTACTCTGTTCATAGTGTTGTGTTTGTCCTGACCGTTTCTCTAAAACTAATAAGATAACATCGATATGAATTGATTCAAAGTCAAACTTGTTGCCATGAAAATGGAAAAAAAACAACTCTAAAAATCCCTAAATGGCAAAGGGCACCATTTGACAACCTGGTCGTTTTGGTGCAAAGTTTTATGAAAGATTATTCATTATTTTTAGAGATATGGCCCGGACAAACACAACACTATGAACAGAGTCAAAGTCAAACGTATTGCCTAGGAAATGTAAAATAATATTTACTCTAAAAATCCCTCAATAGCAAAAGGCACCAGTTGACAACCTGGTCCTTGTGTGTGCAAAGAATACCTTTTAGTTTTAAAGATACGGTCTGGACAAACACACAGCTAGCGCTATGAACAAGTCAAACGTCTTGCCGTGGAAACGGAAGAAATATATTTTCTAGAAATCCCTTATCAGCAAAAGGCACAACTTCAGACCCTGGTGAATACATGTACCAAGTTTAGATGAAATCTTTTTCACGGTTTTCAAATTATGGTCCGGAAACGAAACAGTGACGGACAGACGGACCACATGATAAAGATATCTTTATCTTTCCTTCAAATACACCCTCATCCTAGATAAAATTAAATAATATTCTCATGTAAGGGTGTATTTCATAAAAACTTTGAAAAGAATTCAGGTGGTAAACCATCCACACCAGGAGATTTTCCAAACTATATAACAAAATATTACGGCTACTTTAATTTCTTCTTCCGTAATCCCCCCTGGCAATAATTAATGCAAATTGATTCACTGCACTCTACAAACTGAGGGTATAATTACTTCTCAAAATATGAATACCGGCTTTTAGGGGAGGTGGTGTCACTTTGGTTTTTACTGAGTAATGATATGTCGCCAAAATAATGTCCTATGTTTTTTCCTTACAACACAGTTTATCTTTCCACTTTCTAATATATTAAATATTTTGTGAGCATGCAGCTTGTTTAAAAGACTGTACTTAATCTTTTCTTTTACCTGGCATTCATGATCAACAAATTCGGGTTGCGATTTAGATTTTGGACATACTAATCTAGGTGCTTTTCGAAGATGTGCACCCGCACAACTTTACTGCTGCGGAATTAACATTCTTATCAACACAACTTAAAAAACTGTCGATAATCTCTGTTGCTTAGGGTGTAGAAAAGTTATCAATAAAAGTGTGGGATTTAGTACTTGCTCAAATAAATCTTGGGATATATACTGTTTTCCCGTTATCACAAAAATGTTCTGTCTTATTTTCACCGAATGTAAAAGCATGAAGAACTTTGCATGGAATTGGTAAATGATCAGATTCCGTTCTACTGTGTACAGTCATATCGGTAAGATCTTGGGCAAACATATGAGGAAGCAACAAAATAACCAATTAAACTGGTACCATTATGACCAACATATGTGAACCCACCACTTGGATCACTCGGTTTCCTACTATTTACAATATGGATTGACCACTGTTTACAAAGAGTTCTAACAAGGAAAACCCAAATTAATTTGTTTGTTCATCCCGTGAATTTCTACTCTCACAAAAATCATCTATCAAATGCAAATCTTCAATGTCAAAATAATTCTTATCTTTTTCATTTTCCAATACAAGCCCTTCTGTGAAGCAGGGCGGACGTTCATGACACCAAATATTGTCATATCAATGTCAGAATCATACTCCGCTTTAATACAAGATATTTTTTTGATAGCTGATCAATCCTGTCTCTTCATCCTCACAATAAGGGGGACCTCTCCGGGAGTCCACTCAGTTTGAGAGGCGAGAACTCGAACTCGAGCTTGACAAAAACACACAGTTGTTCCAATCACTGTATATTCTGGTGATGTACTGCTTATAGTACTTCCGTATGCACAATGCAACCCCACCTGAAAATCTTACCATATTTTTCACGCGAAAGTGGGCGTGGCTGTTATTACAATGGATATATTTAATGCTTCCGGTGATTTCCACTTCCAATAGTATAATAACTATACATATTATATACGCTGTAATCTTCATATTATTGAGGAAATAAAGAATACCTATCTATCATTTTGCATAGTTTCAACAAGACAGAAAGTCTAAAACCTATTCTTATTTAGACATACTTCCTCGATCAAATATAACTTCCCTTTATGTACATGCTTCTTGACACTGCCGAGTTCCCGAATATCACCCTGTTCATCTTCTGTAGTATCGCGTTGTTGGGCACTCTTGTTCAACCAATGGGTCCCTAGGCGTTCCTGCTCGACTTCGTCTTGTTCCCACTTGCTCTTAACTGTGGTCATCTTTATCTGTAACACATCACCAATTACTAGCTGTCTTATGATAAAATGATTTTTTTTGTGTTTCATGAAAGGGATAAGAGATTTAAGGATATTTCTAACACGATCTGTATTGTCGATGTCACTCCGAAAACTTTATCCTGTTTGAGATGTGTTATTGCAGCCTCAAACACTTTTCCACTGGCTCCAAATGCTGTAAACCTTCTTTCAGTTCTTTATGTTCCTCTCTAAAAAAATTCTGTTCTCTCTTAACATCTCTTGATAAAATAAACTTATCAAAACCGTCTACAAATTCAACATACTGGGGATGTCAACATCTGTATCGTCGGAATCACTATCAACATTACGCTGAAAAGTTAATTTACACCCTCAGGCCTGGGTTTGATTCAGTATCGGCACAAAGTTCAATTAATGTGGGAATGAAAGGGTTACGACTGTGATATGTTTGGATACGCATCATATGTGAGTTAGTGAGTGAGTATGGTTTTACGCCGCTTTTAGCAATATTCCAGCAATATCATGGCGGGGGACAACAGAAATGGGCTTCACACATTGTACCCATGTCGGGAATCGAACCAGGGTGTTCGGCGTGACGAGCGAACGCTTTAACCAATAGGCTACCCGACCGCCCCGCATCATATGTCAGTGCGAGACTGAATACCCACGTCCCCGCTACTGGTATTAGTGAAAGCTCGCTGACCGCTGTTGACGGGACCTTCAGAAAGCACATGGAGCGAAAGGTACACAATAAATCTACCAACAATATAGTATGAAACTGTCTGGTAACAAAATTTCAAGGTTGTACACTTTAAAATATTTTTGGCGGATAATTATACAAAAAGGCCAACGCAGGACCTCCAACACATAACTTTCACCCCCTTGGAATTTCTACTCGGATTGGCAAAGTAAAAAAAGCTAATTTGCCCAAGAAGTTTAACCTAAGCTTCAGGCATATCGATATCCTAATATCGTTAAATGACCATCAAATAGCCATTTCCCTTCCACTGATTTACCCACCTTAACTAGAAATGTAGGATACCGCTTCCTCTGTTTCATATTTTGATCTATGCATAAAGATTCAGAGTGACAAAACGCTCCCCATAAGACTGTATGACAAGAGTGATGACTTCAACTTTCCAATAGTCAGTGTTCCCTTTATGTAATATTCCTGAAGCTCCAGTCTTTGGTGTCATTTCACAACTTTAGAGGTCCGGGCCAGCATGTTATTTCGTGATTTCAAAGAGCGCCATACGATGTTTGCTCAGAAGTTGTTTGATCAAGGTAACAACATTCAAGATCCCACTCAAGCTTTCAAACAGTTTAATGGTACACATGTGGATGACATTTTCGAAATTCCACTTGTACCATATGATCCCATGTTTCAGGTGATCAGTTAACTTGCCTATGCATGTGTTTGTGACAAGTGCCAACTGTGGTGCAGGTATACACTCTACCTTCCGCGAACACCTTGTATTATCACTATTTGATACTGATACATAAACACATGCTCAGTATGTAGTCGGAATCAAGCAATCCACTCTTCTTTTGTCAGAGATGTCTCATGGATATGGAAAGGGTTTGCAGTTTCCTACCTAATCAAGTCAAAATGTCAAATAAATAAACTAGATTTATGTACTGTGACTGAGAGAAATGTACAGTCATAACTACAAATTGACCGAATTTAGACTTTAGCTGTAACACTAGTGTTGTATTTGGTGTGTAGTGACGGCACATTCCGACGTAAGGTAACTTCGTAATCCCCACAATCATGAGGCACAACCAATCATGAGCCTGATTGTGTGAACATCGCACTACAAACATTTCCAAACTTACCGGATATTTTTGTGTGAAGGAAATGCCCTACAGGTCGCGCCCTTCATTGTTAAAAGTAGGTCTTACTAGTAAAATCGTTGATACATTGTATAATAAAACCGACAAAACTCTTTCCATATTCATAAGAAATCTAAAATAATCGATTGTACCAGTCATTCAAAAACATAGAATGTCATTCTAAAACATACCATTTAGTGTTTTTGTCATTTGATTTACCTACTTGCGATGTTATTAACATACTTTGTTTCAGAAAAATATATTAAACCATATAATATTTTGCAATAGGAAGGAGAAGGCGCCGTTGTGTCCACATTGCAAGGTACTGGGACTGCAGGAAGACTTGTTCCTGTCACGTCATTTCGGACGACGGAAGCCTTCCCAAATATAAAGTACGGCTTGAACAACAGAACACTTTTAGTATCGACGATAAAGAGGGTGAGTTGTTATAACCCTTAGAATCTTGGTAGAGCGGGTTTGAAGCAACATTAGGTAATAAATGGACAATATCAGGTTAAACTGGCTTGTGTAACAGGAACATTACCGGGAAAAACCTTCGCGGCAAGTACGGCATTTGCTACATAACAGGTAGTGTAACCAGAAACACGAAACATTGGTAATAAATGTCATACTTAATTCCATTTGCAATATTTGCAGCATTGTCTTTTAAACATTATAGGTTTATGTCCATTCTAAGGAAGCACTGTGGTGATAACGAAAGTAAATAGTAATTTGTCATTTTGGCGAAATAACAGATAAGTGAGTGAGTATGGTTTTATGCCGCTTTTAGCAATCTTGTAGCAATATCACTGCGGGGGACAACAGAAATTGGCTTCTCACATTGTATGGAATCATGTCGGGAATCAAACTCGGGTCTTCGGCGTGACGAGCGAACGCTTTAACCATTAGGCTACCCGACCGCCCCAAATAAAATACCCGTGATGTCTTGATGCGCCATACATCACTGTCTCGAGGTCATTGAAATATGTCAAAACATGTTTTCCTTCTTAAACAGGGTCGAGCGTTTGTTATCGATTATGGGAAGTTTGAGCAAAAACAGTTTGTGATATATTTATGTAGGTTTGATATCTCTTCTTAAGTATAAAACAACATGTCTTGACTGTCTGCCGAAACAGATTTTATTGGGCGTAAAAGGCAAAATAGTGGGCAAAGATTATGTGAATGGATATCTAAAAATCGTGATGACACAACGTGTTCGCGAATAGGGTGAACAAGTCCTGCCTTATTCACATAATTTACATTAAAAGTAAGTGGTTATGTGTTGCCTGTTTTAATGTTTTAACAAATCAACGATTAAATAAACTAGTGTCCAAAAGAAACGATACCACCTGTTTGCAACGACATAAAAGAAAAACTAAACAATGCAGAAGTTTAGGATTGGTGTTATGCTTTTGAGAAATCCTTTCACAACATCTGTACAAAAATTTCATTTCAATAAAATCTGTACAACCAATATGACAAGCCTTTAAAGATGGGTGGGGTCGAAAAATGAACATTCGTTAGAGCACTGATCACAGAAACAACGGGAAATGTCACACCACACGTCTCAAAGTCAAGTCAGTAGCGGGTATGTCCACCGTGAGCATCAATACATGCCAGAACACGCCTACGGACTGATGACGTCAAACGTCTGATGACGTTGGGAGTGATGCGTTGCCATTCCTCGAGGAGACATCGTTCCAAGTCCTGGACGTTGACTGGAGGCACACGGCGACGTCGGATTGGCCGATCGAGGTGGTCCCATAAGTGCTCGATGGGATTCATGTCCAGTGAACATGCGGGTCATGGCAAAACCTGTACGTTGGCGTTGGCAAGGAAGTTCTGTGTCAATCTTGCTGTGTGTGGCCTTGCATTGTCATGTTGGAAAAGGAGTCCACGAGGCTGTTGCTGAATAAAGGGCACCACAACAGGCCGTAGGATGTCATCAAGATAACGCTGTGCATTCAGGTTTCCACGAATTACGACAAGCATCGTTTGACGTCACCACATATGCCACCCCAAACCATTAACCCTCCACCTCCAAACGGCCGGACCTGTTGGATACAGTTAGGCGCCAAACGTTCACCAAATCGTCGGTATACAAGCTGCCGTCCATCGTTTCTGAAGATGAGGAATCTGCTCTCATCAGAGAACATAACACGTGCCCAGTCCCGCCGTTGCCAACGTCGAACTCGCCTGGCCCAGATCAGTCTGTTGTTCCGGTGTCGAGGCGTCAGGAGCGGTCCGAGGTAGGGATAACGTGGCCGGATACCATACTGCCGTAGTCTCCCTTAGACGGTCTGTCGACTGATCCTGTGTCCCAGTGCTGTAGCCGCCGTGGACGTCGCTGTTACGGTGCGGTTCCTCAGGTGTAAAACCCGGATGTAACGATCTTCACGGGGCGTGGTTACTCGTGGTCTTCCACTCCTGGGCCTGTCTGACGTCTGACCTGTCTGACGTAACCGCTGCATCAACCTGGTGATAGTGATGCGTGCGCAGCCCAACCTTCTGGCGACGTCGACGTGTGACGCTCCTTGTTGGACCATTCCAACGGCTCTCTCTCTCTCGATTGCTGTCAAACGTGGCATATCGTGTGTTCTTTTTGTTGCTGTGATATCAACGTGTCTGATCAGCCGTTTTATACAGTTTTTCTGCACGTGCAGAACATGCTAGAGAGGGAAATGTCACTTTCACGAAATTTACGTTTTTTCTCGGAAGTGATCACATGTTCCCGGTATTTGTTATCGACTATGCTGTGTTTGGGATGTGCAATACGAATTGGCATGTTTTCATACTTGACAATTCACTTAGTAAAAATAAATTTTGAAAATAAGTTGGTATCGTTTCTTTTGGACACTAGTTTATATTCTAAAGTCATGCCTGAGTCAATTGTAAGGCACTCCGAAGGACCGGGGAAGAATAGGTCTTCAGCAACACATGCTTGCCGTAAAAGGCGACTATGCTTGTCGTAAGAGGCGACTAACAGGATCGGGTGGTCAGGCTCGCTGACTTGGTTGAAGCATGTCATCGTATCCCAAGTGCGTGGATCGATGCTCATGATGTCAATCTCTGGGTTGTCTGGTCCAGACTCGATTATTTACACGCCAACGTCATATAGCTGCAATATTGCTGAGTGCGGCGTTAAACAACAAACAAACAAACAATTGTAAGGATTGTTTCGTGCACTTTTTCAGATGGTAGTTTAATTATATGTATCGGCTATGATTCATCGTTTGTTATTATGTTTTTGCAATCCCATCAAAATCACAATCAAGTCGACCGTGTATGGGGTAATGATGGTTATTCTCAAAGCAATGGCTCAAAAGTTGAACTTCAGGTAAGTTTGAAAATTGCGTGACTTTGGTATACCGTATATTTGACAGTATATTTGTATATTTTATCACGGTGTGGGAGCTTATAAGGGAGAAGGCCCTGAAGTGATTTCCATAAGTGTTTTAGGACTATTTCAGTAATATAATCACGTTAGTGCATTACAGTAAATTACGTTTATAATGAATACCCTTATACCCATTTGCTGCATATATGCTGTATATATATGCTTATAACGAACTACGGTTAAAACGAATTAAAATTAGTGGTCCCTTTGAGTTCGTTATGTCCGTAGTTTACTGTACTTCGATACTGTAAGACGTAAATAATTAATTAATGGTTGCTTTGACGATGTGTAATCAGATGTGAGTGTGCAAACTTAATCGCATTGTACGTTCCATCATCTCTTTCAGCATTCAGGTCATAGAACCGCCTGATCACGCATGGGGTAATGAAGACAATGGTACTTGGACTGGCCTGATAGGACAATTACAAAAAAGGGTACTGATTTTAATTTTAATTATTGATTTCCTCAGACAAAACCGATCAGAATATATTTGTGAGCATTTAAGATTCATGTAAAAGTGTACAGCTTAAGTCAATTTTGCAAATCATGTGAATCATACCAATGAATACAGCTCTTGTGGCTGACACCAAGTACTTGTATATACTCACACATTTATGATATTGTAATGAAAATATTCAACTTGTCTTCTTTCATTATAACACTCCAAGAATTTTCCGGAGAATGTGACGATTCCCCAACACTGCAGCCTTCTGCCTCTGTGTTCCTGGCAGCAAGCCCTGGTACTCTCCCAATGTCAGTCATCAGATTGGGAGGTACCAAACCTAAGGCACCGAGAACAATGGGGCTAACAACTTCCTACTTGTGATGTAAACGTGACATTTCGTTAGTGAGATCTGCATATTTGCCATGTTTTCCTTAATTTTGTCAGACCCGTGAAGATCCGGGGTAGTATAGGTCTTCAGCAACTAAAGGGATCGGGTGGTCAGGCTCGCTGACTTGGTTGATGCATGCCATCGTATCCCAATGGCGTGGATGGATGCTCATGATGTCAATCACTGGATTGTCTGGACCGATCAAGACTCGATAATTTTACACACCACCGTCATGTAGCTGGCATAATGCTGAGTGCGGCGTTAAACGACAAACAAACAAACAAACAAACAATCACATTAGGTAAGGTGAAATGGGGTTTTACATCGCGTTCAAGATTATTGCACTCATGTATCGACGTACTTGTCCGGACTAGTGGCTAGCCCACTGATATACCCTATTCATTAATAGCCCACTCAGACACAGTTTACGTACTCCCGAGACAGTCAGTCCTTGTTTTAGCACCGTAATGCTAAGCGCCAGGCAGGGTAACAAGTACCATCTTTTAACTTCATTTGGTATGACGCACCCGAGGATCGAACCCCGGACCTTCCGCTCTATGGGTAGACGCTCTATCCACAAGACTACGGAGGCGGTCGTCAACACTGGTGTCAAAAGGGACTGAGAAATCAATAATATGAATGATTATATTGGATTTATCAAAGTCAGGTTTGTTGGCCTTGATACGTCTGCGGCTGTACACGGGCCTATTCCAAAGAATCTTATAATTTTCAATGACGGCCCTCTACATATTCTGGAAAAAAACCCACAAACATGTCGAAGACGGTATTAAAAGGATCTAGCCACGCCATCATGTCGCTTAAGATACTGTGTTTGTTCCAAAACTGGAGCATCGACTTACAATGTGTTGGGCAGTCATATTACATTCATTGCATCATCTACATTTCATCTGATGCAAAATCACAGATTGACGGTTTCGAGATATACATATTTCCCCGCTGAATTGGAAATACAAAACGTCAACGCCAGATAATAACCAGCCTCGATTATCCATTGACACAGATTCCACAGGGTGTAAAGGTAAAAATAGCGGCGGAAATTATATGAATGGAACACTGATCAGTGATGACACCAAGTGTTCGCGAAAATGGTAAGCACGCCCTGCCCTACGATAGAACCAGACACTCCAACAATTTGCGTAAAAAATGTGTTGGTTTGTTGCCCCACAGGAAATCTCCTACCATGCGACTGCAGCCTGGTAACAAACAAGAAAGAATCAAGTGATGGACCAGAAAATCAAACACGATGACACGATAGCGCATTTACTGATTTTATTGGAACTAGTAACGATATCTTAATCTTTAATTAGGTCTTGTGAGATATTCTGCTGCTTATAAAGTAAAGGAAACGTTTGAGAAATATTTCGTTTTCCAACACAATGGGGACAGTTTTAATGTCTCTGGTCAAATATTTCTTTTGTAGCTGACTTAGCATAACTAATAAATGCTACTGAGCTTATGGTGAAACCCGGAAGTCTTTTTTAGGAGGTGGATATGGTTGCAGCTACTTTGACGATTTCCGAAGACAGAGCAGCTGTGATGGATTACCTGCTTCCCCCATTTCGCAGCAACTACATTTATGTCATGTACCGAGAACCGGACGTCGACCAGTACAGATGGCTGTTGCTGTTAAAACCTTTCAAACAAATGGTCTTCCTGGTGTTCGGGGTATGCGTGGCATGTATTCTCCTAATTTATGGAATTACAGAATCACATCCGAGACATGGAACGCCTGGAGATATTGAACACAGGAAAACAGAAGTCCTGTCGAACATGGCATGGTTTATTCTTGGATCAATGCTTAAACAAGGTATTGTCCTCATACTGTATATTATTATTTGTATATTATTGTTATTGTTTGGGATTTAATGGAAGTGTAACTTTCGTAAGCGTTGCACATACAGTGAATCCTCATTAACTTGATATCATGTAGCTCTATATTTCGTTACATACAACGTTGGCAGAATCATATTTTGCTCTGTGGTCATGGCACCTTGCTCGTCTCAAACTACAGATAGCTTTCTGCTTTTCAATGACCCCAAGATCTCCAGTTAAAATCTTTCACTGTACGATTCTCGTTTTGAGACTTTATATTTACAACCTCAAGTATTTAGTGCAGCATTGTTATCAACCTGATGCAAAACATCCCGTACATCTGACATCGGTGGTAAACTGAAGTTGCTGTGTCACCTATTATGTTGTCCTCTTGTCACGTGAAAATTGTGAAAGGGAGGCCGATTATCTCGCATAACCTCCCGTGTGCTGAAAGTTAGTAGGGAATATTTCACTGAAAATATGGACTAAAATTTACACAGAGCATGTTGAACATAAAAGCTACAAAAACATTTTCATATTCATAAGGAATCCCTGCCAAAAACAGAGTTGATTGTACGATTCAGCCTATATCATGAGCTTGCGTTCATGAATCATTATCAAGTAGTGATGATACCAGGTGTTTCCGAAAAGGTGAACGTATCCTGCCCCACGGGTGGCTTCCGTCACAAATAATTGTTCTCCTGAATAAACAACAACACATGATACAAGTCGATAGCGAATTGCATTGGCCATCACTTTTGTCACTGATGCGTCAAATGTGAAAACCCCCGGGGAATTCCGGAGTAGAATAGGTCTTCAGCAACCCATGCTTGCCGTAAGAGGTGACTATGCTTGTCGTAAAAGGCGACTTACGGGATCGGGTGGTCAGGCTCGCTGACTTGGTTGATGTATGTCATCGATCCCAATTGCGTGGATCGATGCTCATGATATTAATCACTGGATTGTCTGGTGTAGACTTGATTATTAACAGACCGCCTTCATATAGCTTGAATATTGCTGAGTGCGGCGTTAAACAACAAACCAACCAACCAACGTCCTCTACCATAAACCTTCTTGAGGCTTTATCGAGGCCTTGAATGTTATAACCTTTATCAAACAACTTCTGAGCAAGAGTCACATGACGCTCTTTGAAATCTTCGTAGACATAACATGCTCGATTGTACCTCAAAAGATGTGAAATGTAGACACCAAAGACTTGAGCTACATTAATATTACTTGGCGAAAAGGGAAAGCTGACCTTTGGAATGTTGAAGCTATCCCTGTTCTTGTCATACAGTCTTGTGGAGAGCATGTTATCACTCTGAATGTTTATACATAGATCTAAATATGAAACAGAGGAGGCGTTCGTTAATTTCTAGTGGGATCTTGAATGTAACCTTGATCAAACAACTTCTGAGTAAAGGTCGTATGGTGCTCTTTGAAATCATCGAAGAAACAACATGCTCCACTGTACCTCAAAAGTTGTGAAATGACATCAAAGACTAGAGCTGCACTGTAAAGAGAAAGCTGACTATTGGAAAGTTGAAGTCACTACTCTTGGCATACAGTCTTAGGAGAGCGTTTTGTCACTTTGAATCCTTATGCATAGATCAAAATATGAAACAAAGGAAGTGGTCTCATTGGTATCCTATATTTCTAGTTCAGGTGGGTAAATCAGTAGAAGGGAAATGTATAATTGATGGTGATTTAACGATATCAGGACATCGATATACTTGAAGCTAAAGTTACACTTCTTTGCCATATTAGCCTTTTTGGACTTTGCTAATCTAAGCAAAAATTCCGATTTATATTCATAAAGGAACAGATCAGCAAATAGGGGAGCACAATTGGAGCCCATTGGCATGCCTACTTCTTGCCTAAATGTCCTTCCCAAAAAATTACATAAATATCAATGTGGAAGTCTAGCATTTCACATACAGTTTTCTCAGTAAACTACAGATGGTATTTGTCTTAACTTTAGACACATTGCACTGAACCTCTGAAGATAGATATGTAACTGCATCTGTAGTCACAACGTGTTGTAACCAAAAACCCATGGATCAAGGTATGAAGTGTGTATGTTTGTTATGTGTAATCAAATGTTTAGACAGACCTGAACACGTCAAGCAAATCCTTTGAGGTTTTGAAAATCCCCATGGTATTAATTCAACTTGTCTCATATACTGTGAATATAAAAAAACCCTCCTTGACTTGATTGTATTAAGGATTTTGGTTAGTCTTTGAGACATGGATTTGGTGGTACATTTGCTGGACCGAGCAATGTCTCTCGCTTTCTTTGAACGGATTTTTTATGGATATTTCAAATCCAGTAGAAAAGAGGAATGGGCATGTCTTCAGGTTTCGTATCAAAGGCGTCAAAGCTGCTTGAAGGGTTTTGAAGTCAACAGCTTACTGCGTCCGAAGCATCTGGTTTTGAGGTGCCAGATTGCTGCTTGTCCCAACAGCCACCCAAGCTTTGAGGTGGGAAGTTTTTAATTAAAATTTCACTTCTCAATATTTAAGTAACCACTGTCGGCAAGTAAAGGGCACATTAAATGTTTCGTACAAGGCGAGGCATATATATTTTTTCAAGTTGAACAAGGGATTGATTACCCTTTTCAGACCCCACCCCCTCTTCGACCTCGAAAATCAAATGGTAGTTCCTTAAGGAAATCAGTGGCAGATTGTTTTGCAAACGAGATCTGTGTACATTTTTATTTACAAGCCAAGCATGTGGAAGCTAGTTCACCTTTCAACTTATTCATTTTATTCAGTACAAGTTCTAATTATTTATTTTCTAAAATAGCATGAGTGTGAACTTGAATATATAAATACAGTACTTAATGTTACACTAGCCAGTATCGGTGAACATTAGCATGATGAAATGTTACCAACGTGATGTATTCCTCAATAGCTGGCGGATGAAGATGTTTACTGTGAGAAAACAAACCCACGTATCTCATTTGTTTCTGTTTTCTCCTTTTGAAATAAAATATGAAACGGTTTCATTATATAATCATTGAAACCATGTACCTTTAAGCATTTATGGGTAGTATTTGATTGTGACTGTATTAATTGTTTTAACCATTTCACCGGATTTTTCTGAGGCATGTGAACGGAACAAGGATGTCGTCTATTCAGTGAAAGAATATGTTTTTACAATGACACAACTTTGTTTCATCCATTAGGCATGTCAGAAACCCAGGCCCCAAAGATGATCTTTGGTTTGACACCACCACAGTCTGCCTGTCACAGACGCAGACGTATATGGCATGGATTTCCTCCAAATTAAGCTGGCATGCCGTGAAGTAAATGAAATACCCTTTGTTCCGGATCTGTATACCTAGATTAATACTTTGCTGATTGATTACAGGTGGTGCCCACACATTCACCGGTGTATCTGGTCGGGTTCTAACATTTTTCTGGTGGATCTTTCTCATTGTCATAACGTCTGTCTACACTGCAAAACTTGTCGCCTTCCTGTCTGTGAAGAAGTCCGAACCTCCACCATTTACCAATCTTCAGGAACTCTCTGAAAGACTTGATTATTCTATAGGTTTACCGATCGAGGGTTTCATTCGAACATATTTACAGGTACACACGTCAGGTTTTTATTTATTGTTGCCTCTCTGAAGCAGTTCAGTATGTTAGTGGCAATATCATAGGAGCCTGTCAGTAATCGTATGACCTTGACAAAAATTGGTCGATAACATAAAAAGTCCTGCAGCTCACTTCAATATCTCAGATAAGTCGAAAATAATTATTTTCAGTAGAGACAAATGATAATAAACAATAATCGACTGAAGAAATCGGATGAGGCAAGTGCAGAAACTATATACAGAAACTATGTCCGTGACACGCACATACAGATTTAGGTCTGTCCTTTATTTTCATATAAATTTCCTTTTCGTTCTAAAAGTGTTATAAATATTGAATGTTTTTGTTCAGAATTCCAAGAGGGATGACATAAAAAAGATATGGAAAAGAGTCAAACAACAAAATGTGACAGATCCTCGAGTTTTCTCGACTGACTATAACTACCATGTCAATAAAGTGAAGAAAGAAAAGTATGCCGCCTTTGCATCCACGTTCATCGTGGATGCCTACATGGCTGAGAATTGCAAACTCACTTACCTCAGGGACTGGATTCTGTTCGAACAGATGGCTTTTGGCGTCCCTAAATCCTCGCCCTTGAAGTCGGAGTTGGAACGTGTGTATGTGATTTGATATACTCTCTTATCACTGAACTATGGCAAATTCGTATTTTCTTACATGCAGAGATCTTAGGCATCCGTAAACAAATCAGTCATTGAAGTATTCAATTATTAAGGTTCTGACCCGTGTTTGGGAACCTGATTATACCTTAACAAGAAGTACAGAAACGATAAAAATAATTTGGTGCTGTGTTTACAATAAAGATTACAATATATATAATGTACAAGAACATGTGGAATTAGGATTCCATTTCCATTGTAATAATACTATAAGCATTGTAAGAAGGAAAGGTAGTTGTAGCTACAGGTAGAGCTAAGCACATTTTCTGGTCTGGAGAGGGCATTACATCTCGACACGTACATTATGACCTATGGCTGAAGTTAAACCAATATAACTGTGCGTGGGTTGTTATGTCTGAAGTAAGACGCGCTCTTCACTAAATGTAGATAGACACACACAAGATAAAGGATAATAAAAATTACCCCAAACCAACTATAATAAAACATGACATAATTGTATTTGGTGCATAATAATAGTAGCTGTGGGCTAATAACGATATTGATATTCTTCTGATTATCAGTTGTATGACATTTGTCAGGATGTTAGATTTGATTTCTAACTTTAAGTATCCGAGTAACAATTTCAATATGGTCGAACATTAGATATACAGATTAACTATCTGTGTCGTTATCGTTCACTATACCGCCTGTATACTTTCAATATATTTGTTTTGATATATAGTATATTCTAAAACTATGTATATTGGGATATTGATAGTGGTCTCTGTGGTCGTATGTAAAGTATGTTCTCTGTGGTCGTTTTCTCCCTCTGCCTGACATGATCTTTGAACTATGAAATGGTTGTTTGGCAAACTCGCCGACATGCGAATCTGGTTCCCATGAAACTGTACCATGCTCTTTCCTCAGCGCATGGTACATTCTTGTACCATTTACCCATTTAATGAAGAGAAAAGGTCTTCGGCAACCCATGCTTGCCGTAAGAGGCGACTATGTGTGTTGTAAGAGGCGGCTCACGGGATCGGGTGGTCAGACTTGGTTGATGCATGTCATCGTATCCCAGTTGCGATGTTCGTTTCTAGTCATGCCACGGCGTTAAAAACAAAAACAAAGAAGCAAGCTAACAAACTTCAAAATAGTCATATGATTGAAATTGATTGTTTTCACCTGACCCTTAGTGTCCTTTATTTGTTTGGGTCGTTGGCTAGTTTCTTGATTTTTCAGATTGTTGTTTTGTGTGTCTTTTTGTGGTTGGGATCTGTGTAGTTCGTTTTGTGCGTGGTCTTGGTAGGGATGTTCTAGGTGTGTTGATCTGTCTCTTAAATCATTATACAGGATCAACCTTTTACCATGCTTCTTATTGGTTGGTTTGTTTGTTTGACAGCACCGTAGTGTCTATGTACAACTCCAAATCCAACTATATATAGCAAGATACCATGTACTTGGGCTGTAGTATTTGAAATGAGCGAGGTTGCTTCTTTTTAATCTTCAGCCAAAATTGATCTTGAACTTTCATTCTGGGTTCTTTGGCCTGTCTCATAGGAATGCTTTTTCTCTCCTAGCTGTTTCTGGTGTTTTCAGATGCAATTTTATGTACCGACTTCACATGTTCAAGATGGACTTCTCATCTGCATTCTAGACATTCTCTTTGTGCGTTGTCATGAAGGTCCGGCGCTGATGTATCAATTTAAGAAGCAGATGCTACCATCTCTGGCTTGTCTTCATTATAAAACATGGCATTTTGAATTGTATGGGAAGAGAGATCAGTCTGGTCTGCTTGTTAATCATGAGTATTGGTATGTATTCTTGAGGACATACAACTGATGTATCCCCGTGCTCAGTTTTGAAAGCTAGTCAGTATTTTGATATTCATGTGAGAGATATGTTGTTTATTTTACCAATGTAAATCCCTAAGATGCTTGCTAAACTCGGAATGCTTTATTCCTTCTGTAATTCAAGTCCTGTCACTGTCCATTTCTTTTCAATTTCATTGAAAGATCTACTGCCATAGAAAATCAGGGGATGTCGGGTAGCCTAGTTGTTAAAGCGTTCGCTCGTCATGCCGAAGACCCTGGTTCGATTCCCGACATTGGTACAACGTGTGAAGCCCATTTCTGGTGTCCCCCGCCGTGATATTGCTGGAATATTGCTAAAAGCGGCGTAAAACCATACTCACTCACTCACCCATAGGAAATCACATGTCTAGTTCCTCTTTCATTAAGCTGTACTAAGATAGAGCCTACACTGGTGCAGCTTGCATCTGTGGTTAACGTGAAGGCTTTTGTTACATCTGCATGATGACATTTTTCATTCAATTTGAACTTAGCTTCTTTCCTTAGAAACTCATTAAGAAGTGCAACATTTTGAGAACCCTTGAACAACTCTCCTATAATAGTTGCCTAGTCCAATGAACTGTCGTACATTTTGTTGATTTCTAGGAGCTGACATGCTTCTTACTGCCTCAATTTTGGTTTTGTCTACCTCAATGCCATCCTTAATGAAGATATGACCCAGTTAAGTGACCTTCGTTTCAGCAAACTAGCATTTACATGGTTTTAATGTGAGATCTGCCTGTCAGAGCCTCTGGAAAACCTGTTTGGGGTGCTTTAGATGTTCCTCAAAGTTCCTGGAATAGGTATGTCAACAACATTTACCAGCACATACTTCTAATTCATCTCACGGAAGACATCTTTCATCAACATCTGGAAGAAGATGACTGCATTGGTCGACCCTAAAGACATCCGGTTCCACTGGTAATAGAGGCTGACTTGTGTTTTGTGTCTGGGTCCATTGTTCAAATCTACTGGCACAGTCCAAAACTGATAATATTTGCACTTGAGTGTCTACCACATGATCAAAATGAGGCAGAGGGAAAAATTCCATTTGAGTACTGCTGTTCAATGAACAGTGATACTCACCCGATTTCATTTTGACCATGACGACATGGCTTCTCCAATCTGAGCGACTTGATTCAATGGTACCTGCGTCAAGTCCTGTATCTGTCTGGAAATTCTTTGTGACTTTCTGGATTCTATCTATAATACGGGAGTCGTATTGGTCGAGCAATACCCGTTTCTATCTTGTGGTGGTATAAGTTGATTTTTCCCAGTTCATGCATGTCTTCAGCAAAGACTTCTCCATTGTCTTAAAAAAGCTTTCACTTGGTTCTATTGTAGAGATAGACATAATGCCCATTGAATCATCTTCCTCATGCAAGTTTGAATGGGACTTACATCTACTTCACCAACTGTTGCACGAACTGTACAAGCTGTTCACTTGATGGTGCTGTTAGTTGGCTTTAAGAAAAGTGTTCAATCTATGTTCCGAGAAATTCAAACTGGAATATCCATTTGTGCTCTGGGTGGTACGGTTTTGCCATGACACTGTGTGTAATTAACTGAGCTTTTTGTTGTATGTGTACAAAGTTTGGATATCCAAGATAGCCCTATTTAATAATTTGACACCTACCAGGTCATACTTGCTTATTAATATTCTGATTATTGAAAAGAAGGTAAAGTGGTTATTTTATGATGAGACATATTTATATTAATAATAATATTTCATGCACTGAATCCAGGACACAACTTATATCAATATCGTTGTGGGCTCTTTTTATGACAGACATGCGTTATGTAGTATATTGCATGCCAGAAGTTGTCATTTCTTGAAAATTCAATTTTCAAAATTCATATTCAACTCCGCTATCAACTCAAGATGTCATAAAGAGAGGGTCACCCTTAAGATCAGTTACATTAATAGGGGTGGGGTGGAGGGTGCTATCGCTAAAACTTCAAGTAAATGTGTCCGTATTATTCCTTAACTGCAGCATATTTACTGAAAGGCTAATAATTAAAAGGGGAAGTTTGTTTTATCACCCATGAACTATGTCAGTCTTTTTAATCATCCAGAAATTTTGTTTCATGTTTGAAATAAAGGGTTAGCTAAAAGGCAACGTGCTGTATAAGGAACCGTGAAAATCACTTCTTTTGAGGCACTACCTAAACTACAAGGTTCCAAATGAATCGATTTATATCACTATTATTATCGTTTATTCACCTCACCCACGCTAAATATGTATGATTATGTACAGAATGGAAACAAGTAATGTTTAGGCGTTATGGGTTTTAAATTTGGTTGCTGACAAAACAAGACCATGGCGGGTTTTAAGCATTGCTTTTAGGATTCTGGTACGCCTGAGACCCAACCCTACAGAGTGAATGTGACACGCACAAAGAGGTGCCTTCAAAAATATATATTTCTGCGATATGCTATTTCAAAACGTCAACGTCTTAGCCACATTGATATTCGTATTAACGAAATTTAAAACAAATTGATGAGAACACTATCATAAAAAACTCTTACCAGGTGAAACCCACCATTAGAGAACACGAAGTAGGTTTCAGTAGACTTGAGGAAATCAACCTCACACTGTGTCCCCTAGAAATATAGAGTATCTATCTCATCATCCTTTAATATTTCTCTCCCGGGGAATCCGGGTTAGAATAAATTCCTAGCAACCCATGTGTGGGTCGGTGCTCACAATACGAATCACTTTATTGTGTGATCCAGACTCGATTATTTACAGGCCGCCGTCATATAGCGGGAATATTACTCATCACAGCGCTAAACGGCAAACAAACACATTTAATATTTCTAGAAAGGAAGGTTGGCTGTTATTAGGTGTACATGTTCTCAGTGCGTTACACATGGATACACATAAAGAAGAAACATATTATGATCAAGGTTTCTTTCTATCCTTTCTGCATGTTTGAAGCAGATTGATCAAATTCTCGATCAAGTCCTGACACATGTGTTCAAGGAGTCATGTTATATATCTTGTGCCACTGAGCTTATACACCATGCACCAAGAAGAGGCAGCATATAAGCACAAACAATGGAGAGCAGCCCAGACATTTGGCTCCAAGGCATGGTCGGAAATATTAGCTTTAACATCGTGATTAGCTTTATCACAGAACATTGATCAAAGTATGCATTCAGTAAACAAATATATTGGAGAGAGAATGCATTTCCTTGACCGAGCACATGCTGCGCTTATCACAGCTGGTGACTTTCTAATCTAGTTCATTGGAAGAATGCAGTCATTAGGCCAGTCAGCAAACTAGCACTTGCAGACAGATTTCATTAAGCCTTGTAATCTAACTCTCTCCTGTTCTTGCAAGACAAGAAATAATGTATGAAAACAAGCCGTATGAGATCGCATTGTGAAAAAAAGTATGTGATTTCAAGGGTGTTGGCATTCGTGTGATATATACAATATTTATGTTTATTGCACACTACAGAAGATACATGAAAACGACGACCGTACATACATACCATGTAATATGTGTTCACAGTGACTTAAACGTTCTTTCCTTTAAAACCCGCGTCACAATGTGGAAATTCGGCTGCCACATTATGTTTATAGTGTTGCATGTGGACCTCGGATCACACGTTTATTTCCTAGCATTAATAAATTTTGGACTGTTTGGTGGTGACATGCCTATACATAATAGCCTTTGTTTAAAAATACATGGAACAATAAGTTCAGATTGAATATAAAAGAAGTAGCCAACGAGTGATAAAGTTGTTAAGGAAATCTCGTGTTCATGCTGGGATGTCGCTGACTTGGTGTAAAACGATATTCACTCCTTCAACGCTTGAGCCTTGTGATAATTGGTTAATTGCATTGCAAGTTGTTTTTTTCACCAGGATGCACATGATGGTGGATACTGGGTGGATAGAAAAATATATGCGTGACATTGGCCTTTCGCCTGACAAACGTCGATGTATCTCTGAGAAGCTTGTAACGCCAGTGACACTTGACGAAATCGGCGGAGGCGTAGCAGCAGTGGCAGCAGGTATGGGACTGGCACTTGCAATCCTGGCTGTAGAATGCCTCTATCATTACATCAGGTCACGGTATGGAAATGAAACATAGGCCTCGTCCTGAATCTTATTATGTTCTTCTTATTATTTGTATTTATGTGAATGAACTGATGTACACCTCACTCACTCACTCACCTTTGCTTTTCTGTGTGTCACTGAATCCTTTAAGCTTTTTGCTTAGCAAAGAGGAAGGTTATCATCCTGGACCCCCTCAGCACACATCCCCAACACTCCGGACTGACCTCCTTTACATGGATGACCAATGGAGGATCAACACTGAGAAACAGATTCTCATTGTCAAGTCATTTTCTAATCGACATGTCTTTGGACTCGACAAATGCAACCTTCTTCATCTGAAACGTGGCAAGGTTGAAGATGGAGGATCAGTCAATTTACTTGGGGAAGGAGTTACTGACCATCTCGTGAGGCCTATACGTACTTAGGGATGCAGGTTAGGGACAAACTCCAGAATGCCCATATCAAGGAAGAACTTCGGGCGGAGTACAATTGTAGACTTAAAAAATATGGAGTTCAGAGCTGAACGCTCACAATAAAATCAAAGCCACAACTACTTAAGCTGTACTCGTCCTTTCGTATTCTTTTGGTGTTGTTGATTAGACGAAACAAGAAATTCAGGGTATTGACACGCTTAAGACGAAGAATCATGTCGGACAATAGATCCCACCACCCTCGCTCTTCCCTAAATCGCTTATATTTGCCAATTATAATGGGATGGTGTGGTTTGATTAACATGGAGGCTCTTCATGATAGACACATTTAGTTGTCTGATGATCCTCTGGTGAAACATGTCAAGACTCATGATGAAAACATGGCATTCGACAGTTTTCTTAAACGAGCCAAGTATGTGGGACATAATCGCAATGTTAATGTTGATTTTGTTGATGGTTCTGTACTGCTGGACGGTTCAGAAATGAGTGTCAACCAAGCGAAGTGGCATATCAAGTCGGCCCAGACTCAGTTATTCAGCAGAAGGCTATCTGAACGACCATATTATCGCGGTCGTGTACCGTGTGTACAACCCTGTATAGTTTTTCGCTTGGACGAAGTCGGCTGGCCTCAAAATTGAACCAGAAGGCTTTTTGTTTGCTGCTTAAGACCAGTCACTTCCCACTCGAAAAGGTCTATGTGTGACTTTGCATTAAAATATAAATACGAAATGTCGAATATGCAATAAATTCAATGAGACTGTCCACCACATTGTAAGTGGGTGCCCATCTTCGACTCAAACACAGTATCTTAAACGACATGACGGAGTGGCTCGGTCATTTTATTACCGTCTTCGCCATGCTTGTGGCTTTGACACAGAGGTGCATCCGTGGTACCACTCCATTGAAAGTGATAAATTCTTTGTAACAGGCCCGTATACAACCTCAGAACAATTCAGGCCAACAAACCAGATCTGGTCGTTTTTTGTAAATCCAATAAAATAATTCATAGTATTGAATTTTCTGTCCCTTGTCACGCTAAAGTGATTGACAAGATTCAGGGAAAACATGGCAAATATACAAACCTCACTTTCGAAATGTCACGCTTGCATCCCAAGTACCAAGTTGTCCGACTCCCCATTGTTCTCGGTGACTTAGGTTTGGTATCTCCCAATCTGTTGACTGACATTCGGAGAGTACCCGGGTTTGCTACCAGGAATACAGCCCTTCTGACAATCTTGGTAATGCAGAAGGCTGCAGTGTTGGGGAGTCTTCACATTCTCTGAAAAGTTCTCGGTGGGTTTGACAAGGCGGCGTTTCCTGGGAGTAGTCTCATTCGCTGTCTGGGCTGTAGTGGGGCATAATAATGCTTATATTCATAATGCGCCAAATCCACATCCTAAAGCATTTTCAAAGCGCTACATTATTACCCCGGGGAATGAAGCAGTGTGTACTTCCTTGGGAGTATACAACCAAGGCTGCCTATTAGTGGAGCGGCTTATTGACTAAATTGTGCACTTTGAGTTAAAAACATGACATTTGATACACAGGTTCTTCATCCCAGTACACACATATGGCTGTCAAATCCAATATGGCCGCCAAGAATGCACAAAATTCGCAATTTTCAGTTAATCAACATTAAACATTTATTTATTGAAATGACATTGTCACATGTTATCCTGTTCCATCAATGTGATCATATACCCATACCGACCAAAACTACATTTATGCAAAATCCGCGACAAATTCCCTAAATTACCGTCATTTTCAACATTATATCGTATAGAGTTGGTTGGTTGTTTAACGCCGCACTCAGCAGTATTCCAACTATATGACGGCGGTTTGTAAATAATCTAGTCTGGACCAGACAATCCAGTGATTGATATCATGAGCATCGATCAACGCAATTAGGATCGATGACATGCATCAACCAAGTCAGCGAGCAAACTAAATGATCGAGTCTGGATCAGACAATCCAGTGATTGACATGCTCATCGATCCACGAATTTAGGATACGGTGACATGCATCAACCAAGTCAGTGTGTCCGACCACCCGATCCCGTTAGTCGCCTCTTACGACTAGCAAGTTGGCCTTTTACGGCAAGCATGAGTTTCTGAAGGCCTATTTTAACTTCACGGGCCCAATTTGTTAAATCTAATTTGATTCTGTTTTTATGAATTTCAAGTCAAGTTCCTGACACCACTGATCGACTGAAGCACTCATAAAATATAATGTTATTACGATTCTGAATACATTATACACTTGTTTATACACACACATCCACTGTTTAGGAATAAAGGCTCCCACCATGTACAAATTAATTAATATCAGATGTTGTTATGCAATAACTTCCTTTATTTATTCTCTGTATAATATTGAAATGGAATAAAAATTGTTTGAAAAAAAGAAAGAAAAAAGACAAACATAATGAAAGAAATCGGGAGAACATATAAAATTATCATTAAGGCAAGCACCTTGAACTCCAATTATGTAATTTTCAAATGGTTTGGTTGGTTGGTTTGTTGTTTAACGCCGCACTCAACAATATTCCAGCTATGTGACGGCGGTCTGTAAATAATCGAGTCTGGACCAGACAATTCAGTGATTAATATCATGAGCATCAATCCACGCAATTGGGATCGATGACATGCATCAACCAAGTCAGCGAGCCTGACCACCCGATCCCGTTAGTCGCCTTTTACGGCAAGCATGGGTTGCTGAAGACCTATTCTACCCCGGAATCTTCACGGGTAGGTCCCCTTGAAGCCTCCGCGACTAGCTGTATAGTACGTTCAAATTGGAAGGTTACATTCCAATTCAGTGACTGATATCATGAGCATCGATCTACGCAGTTGGGATATAGACAGACACTTTTGTTCAGTATAAGGCTCCGCCCAAAATATATACACATCCATGACCATGCATGCGCATTTTATATAATATTTACAATTGTGTGTATCCTTTTTTATTTACATGATATAGGAATAGATTGACATTTCTGAAAACACCAATGTTCTTACTCTGCATGATAGAAATACAATTGTTAATTGTAGGATATAAAATATTTTACAATAAACTTGTTTTGTAATTCATTGTAGGACTGACATACACAGACAATGTCCAATTCGTCTTATACATCAAAATAGCCTTCAAGGTTGCACGACATGCAGTCTCTTTCATTATAAATTATATGTTCATATCTGCCAGTCTCAACAGCAAGCATGAAAACACTTATGAGGATGCGAGGATGCTTGCCTAGACTGAACGAGATTATCATGTACTCTTTGCTTAAATAGTGCAATGAAGACTACTGGGTTTCCTATTTCCTGACTAATCCAGGCACATCTTAATCCAAAATTAAACAGAATATTTCTTATTTCAGTTGCTCGTGTATTACGGCCTACATTATCCAAAGATTTTAACATAACATTGTTTTGGTAGCCTATTGGAATATTCTGCACCAATACTTATTTGCCTTTGTGGTTGATGCATGTCATCGATCCCAATTGCGTGGATCGATGCTCATGATATCAATCACTGGATTGTCTGGTCCAGACTCGATTATTTACAGACCGCCGTCATATAGCTGGAATATTGCTGAGTGCGGCGTAAAACAACAAACCAACAACAACATTACCCAAGAACCATGTTATCACATGTTGGTTTACCGACCTTTAAACTAGATTTACAAAATTTAATATGTACAGATACAATAGTATTTCAATATGTGGTGCAACATATTTCAGAACCATAACATAGAATAGGTGTTATCTTACAATCAAATATCTTAAATAGATCTGGACACCTAATGTTAGCAAATTTAAGGTATTATTTACTGAAAATATTTCCTTATTTGCGTGGGACAGGTCTGAGCTTTGCTCCAGATTAACTTAGGGGTTAATAACAAGTTCCTGGTATTTATATAAAGATACATTTTTCAAAGGACCTTGAGGGACCACCATTTCTAAACACAATAATCTTAGTTTTATTCAGATTTACTTTCATGCCAGTATGTTTACAAAAACTTTCTGGTACACTTATCTTTCTAAGCAATTGTGAACAAGTGTCGGAAATTGCTGAGACATCATCACTAAACACGAGGCAGCACAGATCATTAATAGACGAGGTAACAGTAATACCTTGACCACCCTCTCTTTTCATAAGCGTACATAATTTGTTTATAATTATAATACATATTTGTGGACTTAAAACACATCCTTGATGGGTGCCATTATTACTGGTAAAACAATTAGATATATCCTTAGAGGTTCTGACACAAGCAGATGAATTATTATACATTGACGTGATTTTCATATTCAAACCTTAATACCAACTTCATACACTTCATGTGCAGGAGAACACCGTCTTAGAGTGTCTTGGAAAAATTAATGAAGAGGCAGTAAAATCTGCCTCTTTTCTTACCAATGTATTTTTTAACTATAGCCTGTAATGAAAAAAATAGTGGAGTATTGGGTCCTAAAACTAGCATGTTGTTCATTAATAAAATTGTGATTCTCACACCAATTCAACTGTTCAAAATAGAAGTTAATACTTGACATGTTGAGTCTATAAGAGAAATACCTCTATAGTTGTTGGGATCATTTTTACAGCCAGATTTGAAGAGAGGACATTTGATACCCTTACCCCAGCAACTGGGGAATCTACCACTATCGCATGGTATGAGAAGCCTTGGTCGTTCTGGATGGGACAGTTTGTAAAATGATGGATGTACCTATATACGACCGATCAGAAGTTACTTTATTTCTATACCAGTTCGGAAACATCGGCGTTTTGCCAGCTTCAAACACTATTCTGGATTCCAGAACGGAGACAGGCCTGCTTCAAGACATTCAACAGGGACAACATTCTGAACATTCGGGAGTGCACTAACATTCATTCTATGGCTTGTCCTTTTACTTGATGTAACTTATTTGACCCATTTATAGACGTGTGTTTATGGTAAATCGTTATGGTAGATATAGAACAGATTATTCATTGATCTTGTATGGTAATTTAC